AAAAAAAAACTAAATGCTCTCTGGTATTGTTCTGGGGGCCGGACCAAATGGGGAGGCGGGCCGGATCCGGCCTGCGGGCTGTAGTTTGGGGACCACTGCCATACACTTAAGCTCCATGTTGTTGTATTGCTTAATACTGTGGCAACTGTATGTTTACRAATCGATTACTGACTTTAAATCAGTAAAAGAAAGAAACTCATCACTGAAGCRTGTAGCGTGACAGGATTAAAGACATTATTTAAACTGGAYGTTTTTGAAAATTTCAAATGGATAAAAACATGAAGTGTGTCAGGCAGCTCGGCCTGATGCAGGACAGTGACGGTGACACACAATGAACGGCAGCACCGACACCTCCCGGTGGTCTTCTCCCACTCTCTGCTGTGGTGGGGATGGTGCTCAGGATGATTCGTCTGACTGTGAAGTCAAAACGGACAGGACTCCAGATGTCCAACCATCAGTCACGTGGCAAAGACAGAGGCAAACTGGATTTAAGAAAGGTATTGTCTGAGTTTATATGTTTCTAACTGTGAACTTAAACTACTTAAAGAACAGATAATGACTTTTTTTTTCTTCAGGTAACACTCTCCAAGGGAAGCAGAAGACAAATCACCAAGTTGTGAAGTTACCTCCAATCAGACCTCTGCCAAGCGTCCAGCCTGCTGGTATGACCTGCATCATGGGGCTGAAGAGCCAGCTGAGGGATGTGCAGCTGCAGCTGACTGAAGCCAGGACTGAGAACAAGCTGCTGAGGAGAGTCCAGCATCACCACATGGTGGCGCTGCAGCCCTTCCAGGACTCTGAGGACGGCATCTTACAGGTCAGATGGGTCAGGTTCACTCAGTCACACCAGAAAATAACTGTCTTGTCTTGTTTAGTTCTAGTTACTATTTTTCTTAAATACATCGCATCTGTTTTTTGAGTGCTGTTTCAAATTTGTAGCTACTTTTAGCTTTTAACCTGTCTTCTGATATTTTAGCTATTGTTTTGCTAATTTTAGTTAATTCTTTGATATTTTTGCTACTGTTAGCTAGCCTTTTAGCTCATTTATTATTTCAGCTACCAATTGCTGCTTTTTAGATAGTCTTTTGCTACATTTAAGTCTTTGCTTTGCTACTTTTGCTGCATTAGCTTTTAGCTTCAACTCTTTTTTTAGCTTCTTCAGCAAGTTTTAACAGTCATTAGCGCTGAGTTTTAGTTGTGCAGGCAAACCTTTTAAAGGTTTCACTGTATTTTAGGCTGCACACACATAGATATATACATAAATAAATATAATTTCTTTTCTTTAAACAGTGCAGAGAAAAAGAGCTATAGAAACATAATACTTACTACCGCGTATATCTTAAAGCACCACACACAAAAAGGTAATTATACTTGAACACATGGAAACTATATGTCTGAGATTGTGTTTCATTTTTTTAGACAGAAAAAACAAAATGGTTCAGACAACCGAAGCACTGTTTACCCCTAAGTGTACAATAGACTTTCTGGAGACAGAATATTGTGAATCTGAGGAGGAGCTTCAGCAGAAGGATGACTCTGTGGACTGGATGTATCATGATAATTATTTTCACTCAATCGTCAATCGTTTTCTCATTTTTTTACTTATTGTGTAAATAATTTGATCTTTTTATATGCGTTATCTGCACAATTTCAGTGTTGTAACGAACAAGCGCAGGAGACTTTAGTCACAGAAAAACCAGAAGGAAAAGATTCTGATGATCTGTTAGAGGAGAACCTTCAGGAGACCGGTAAGTGCTGTTTATTTTTATTTTCTTCAAACAAACACACCATATAGAAGTAATGTTAATGTATTTTCAGATCACTCAGTGGTTTTCGCAAAAACCTCAAGAGAGTTCAGTTACAGTCAAATGGAAAAGTTTGGGCAGCCTTGTTAATTTTCCTGATTTACCTTTATAAATCATTGATTGTTTGGATAAAAAGAAATCAGTTAAATATATCATATAGGGGACAAACACGGTGATATTTGAGAAGTGAAATGAAGTTTATATGATTTACAGAAAGTGTGCAATAATTGGTTAAACAAAATTAGGCAGGTGCATAAATATGGCCACTGTTGTCATTTTATTGTTTTCAAAACCTTTAGAACTAATTATTGGAACTCAAATTTGGTTTGGTGAGTTCAGTGACCCTTGACCTCCATACACAGGTGACTCCAATTATGAGAAAGGTCATGGGGGGCAATTGTAAGTTTTTCCTCCTCTTTGCATCTTCTCTGAAGAGTGGCAGCATGGGAGTCTGAAAACAACTTTCAAATGAGCTGAAAACAAAGATTGTTCACTGTCATGGTTTAGGGGAAGGATACAGAAAGCTATCTCAGAGATTTCAGCTTTCAGTCTCATCTGTGAGAAACATTGTGAGAAAATGGAAGACCACAGGCACAGTTCAAGTCAAGGATCGAAGTGGCAGACCAATAAAAATCTCCAATAAACAGAAGTGAAGGATGTTGAGAACAGTCAGAGTCAACCCACAGACCAGCACCAAAGACCTACAACATCATCTTGCTGCTGATGGAGTCACTGTGCATCGTTCAACTATTCAGCACACTTTACACAAGGAAATGCTGTATGTGAGAGTGATGCAGAGGAAGCCTTTTCTCCGCCCACATCACAAACAGAGCTGCTTGAGGTATGCTAAAGCACATTTGGACAAGCCAGCTTCATTTTGGAATAAGGTGCTGTGGACTGATGAAACTAAAATAGTTATTTGGGCAGAACAAGGGTCGTTATGCATGGAGGAAAAAGAACACAGCACCCCAAGAAAAACACCTGCTACCTACATTAACATTTGATGTTGGTTCCATCATTCTGTGGGGCCGTGGGGCCAGTACAGGGACTGGGAATCTTGTTAAAGTTGAGGGACGGATGGATTCCAATCAATATCAGCAGATTCTGGAGACCAATGTCCAGGAATCAGTGACAAAGCTGAAGCTGCTGAAGCCGGGGCTGCATCTTCCAACAAGACAAMAACCCTAAACACTGCTCAAAATCTACTGAGGCCTTCATGCAGAGGAACAAGTACAACGTTCTGGAATGGCCATCTCAGTCCCCAGACCTGAATATTATTGAAAATCTGTGGTGTCACTTAAAGAGAGCTGTCCATTCTCAGAAACCATCAAACCTGAATGAAGTAGAGATGTTTTGTAAAGAAGAATGGTCTAAAATACCTTCAGCCACAATCCAGACTCTCATTAGAAGCTATAGGAAGTGTTTAGAGGCTGTTATTTTTGTGAAAGGAGGAGCTACTAAATATTAAGGGTTTTTTGGTCAAATTTATGCACCTGCCTAATTTTGTTTAACCAATTATTGCACACTTTCTGTAAATCATTTCAACTTTTTCACWTCTCAAATATCACCGTTTGTCCCTTATATATTTAACTGATTTTTCTTATCCAAACAATCAATTATTTATAAAGGTAAATCAGGGAAATTAACAAGGGTGCCCAAACTTTTTCATATGACTGTTATGTAGAGGAGAGCCCAGAAGACCACACTGAGGATGGTTGTGCCACACAAAGCAGAAACCCAACAAGAGCTGGAAGAGGAACAGGAAACAGAAAGTGAAAGCAGTCTCTCTTCTGATGAAGATAAACCTCAACGAAACAAAGACAAGCTCCCAAAATTCAGACGCATATACACGTTTACAGAGTCTGTTGAAGACCTGCACAATGGAAGACCTGCTTATTACAGCCAAGCACCAAATCGATGTGATGTTCCTCTGGGTTTGTCTAACGGAACAGAGAACCTCATCTAATGAGGAATCTGACCTCTCTGCTGTCATTATATTTGAATATACTGATAAAGTTTGAAGTGAAAAAAGCCATTCGGATTTTGTAACTCATTCCTATCACGTAATTAAAGTTATAATAAATACACACTTCTCTTATATATTTTTTATTAGAAAGAAATGGCAACACTCTAAAAACAGATTTTGTTCTAAAATAATGTACAACCACAACATCCATGCAACGAAATAAACACAACAATAATAAATACTGAAAACAGTGGGTATCTTTCATCTTGGTTCCGATCAGCAGATGCAAACTGAGCTTTTATTATTAAAAAAGAAAAGTTTCAAATCTCAGCAGAGTTTTAGCTGATGGCATTAAGCCCCAGTGTGACCACTTTGTTGCAAACCACCAGCCAGCATGTGATTCCCACACCACCTGAAAGSAAAAAAAATAAAATAAAATCAGACTGTAAACTTTAAAAGGCTAAAAAGAAGGGGGGAAATGTGGACAAGAGGTTTTTTTAACTTCCGTAATTTGTAATATGTTGCACACACTCAATTTAAAACTTTAATTAAATTGTACATATACAGGCCGCACTAGTGTACAAGCTGCAGGTGTCCACATTGTAATAAGAGAAATTTACACAGAAAGATGTTATACACAGGGACACCTGCAAGATTTTATTGGAGGGTATGCACAGAACCATCACTGCTCATGAACACAGCATGCACAAAACCAGCTAAATGCACCTGACCCACACAAATACAGCACACAAATGTACATGGCACATAAAAACAGCAACGTGGCACCGCGCACCCAATGTCACACGAGCCCATTGCGCACATAAACAGTTCCACACAAGGTTTAAAGTGCACAATCTGACACACAGACACTGGGGTGACCAGATGTCCTGAATTGTGCGGGACCGTCCTGTTTTTTTTTTTTTTTTGGACCAAAAGTTCTGGTGCAGTGTAGAAGAAGCAGCTTGAACACACACATTCCTAATGCTTTGGGAAGCGCAGTGTAATGCTAAATGAACCATTCTGCATTTAACGTCTAAAATGTTTCACAATCCATTTAGTCAGAAGATGAGACTGGCTACCTGCCACTCCTGTTGGGAAAGCCACAAGTCGCTCCACAGGGGCAATCCATTTACTGGGGACCACAGTCACTGGGTCAGAGTAATACTTCCATATCAACGAGATCATCAGAGCAGCCTGAAGAACGACAGTAAAAAGACATTTACTTTAACATGACATGTTCCTACTTTATAGCAATAAAATGATTACTGTACACAATGATCTCTTGTGTTCTGTTTAGGGGGCACCAAGTTCCTTAACTTTAWGATCGGTGGAAAAGGTCGGCTTTTCTACCTCCGCAAAGGTCTGAAAATCAGCCACTGTCCCCATTATTTATTTACCGTTATTTAACCAGGCAAGTGCCGTTGAGATCACAGATGTCTTTTTTAAGGGAGGCCTGAAGGCAACCTATTGTACATGTTTTTTAGGTGTGCAAACTCCACAAAGGAAGACCCCAGGTCCAAACCAGGGATCGAACCCAAGACCTTCTTCCTGTGAGCCATCGGTGCTAACCACTGAGCCATCGTGATGCCCTGTGAGCGCTACCTAATGTCCAGTTAAAACAAGTTTGTATCGTTTCAAGGGGATTGTTCAAAGTATTTCAGTAAAATAACATTCGAACATTGAAGTTGTATTGTGACCTTATAACATCTGATAGTGTCAACTATTAAAAAAAATTAAATAAATAAATAAATAATTTGGTATTGGCCAAAATCGTAATCGGCAGGTCAGACTTTTTAAAGACTGGTGATTGGAGATCGGCCAGGAAACTGCAATCGGTGCACCCCAGTTCTGTTTTTAACTAAAACCTACGATCTGAATAGCTGAAAAGCTGGATTAATACTCTGTGTAGTTCTGTGATAAAAATTACAGATTTTGTTCTCGGATAAGCTCTGAGAGTTCGTTCTGTGCACAAGATCCAGCCAGAACTTTAGTATATGTCAACTAGGGTTGTGTGATAATGGCAAAAAAAAATTATCACGATTAATTTGACGATTAATCCCCTGGGGTCCCTGGATGCCCTCATATCCTAGTCACATGACCAGTTTAAAAAACTCTAGTGGGAAAGATTTGCTCTGCGTAAAAATCTATTCCAGATTGTGTCAAAAGTACAGACTTGAGGCTATACTGTACATCGATTTTTAAATTGTGTTGATAGACCAAGTAAAACTGGAGTTATGATGAATAAATTACAGAACTTTTTTTTAACTTCGTTATACTTGAAGCAGAGAGGAGCATCGAGTGGATTGACTGGGGAAATCTCCAGTCAGTCTGCCTGGTCGCATTAATCATATTAATCAAGTGCCAAAAAATAATGCATTCAAGTTTTCACACGATACAATTTTGCCCAACCCTTATGTCAACTATTGGGTGATATTAAACCTTAGTTTGGGACATGTTGATGCTAAAAAGCAGGTGACCTACAACGCTGTTGTTTCATTTCAACTGCTCCGCTGAGAAGCAGATGGCAGAGTCTGATAGAAAATACAGACAACTCTACAACTGTTGGAGCAAAACTTCTAAAGACAGAGGAACTCAGAAGGAGATGGCACAATTGCTGTGCATGGAGGAGTGTGCAGAGACACTCCCAGAGGTTTGTGGAGGTGCCRGAAGGGAGTACGCTTCAGCCGGGCAGCGTAGGGACACATTCTCTGTTTGCTTGGTGTTCACAGTCTGCCAGAAACCATGTGGGTCTCTTCATGACAAATTTACAAATGCCAAACAGCACTTATTGTCTCAGTCTGTATAATGAAAATGTCTCATGGAGTATAAAAAGTCTGTGCCGAAAACGTCTCCCAACTACATCAGTAAAATCAGAACCAAGCCTTAGAGAAGCCTTTACAATTTACTCAACAAACTATTTACTGTATACTCCCACTTACAGTCTCCACCTACCTGCAGTATGTAAAAGACAATGTTCACAACCCATTTCATTTTGGCTTGTTGAGCTGTTCTTGACTGCACTGCAAAATAGAAACATGCAATTATTAAACTTCTGATTTGATCTAATCGTATTAAAGAGCAACCTCTGCTTTTAGCTTTCAAACAGAACGACCTGATACTTCCATTTTCATAACTTCTTGTTCATTAAAATATGGAACTGTGGGCACTGACCCACATCCCACAGTGTGCTTTTTATAACAAATAATATGCAAAACCAAAATGCATTACCATACTAGCAAGACTATGGGACAAAATATGTCATATATATATATATTTATTTATTTATTTTAACACTTTATGTTGTAGAGTTCATCCAAAGACTCTTCATTCAGACCTAGAGGGCTACAATTGGTAAACTAAAGTGGTAGAGATCACAATTATCAGTTTGGCAGAGAAGAACAACACAAGAGCTATGCTTTCAGTTTGCTCACACGACAGTCCTGAGGCAACAGGCAGCAGCTGTTCCYAGCCACTTCCTGCAGCTGCTGGTTTTAAAGTGTGCTTCAGAAGACCTACACCGCTTTGAAAGGCATGCTGTGTGCCATTTAGAGCTAAAATGAGGGTTTATGATAAGAATTTGTTTACTGTCTTGACACTTGTTGTTGCTTGACAACTATATGCAACCAATAAGTCACTTTTTGAGGGCTCATGCTCACAGTTGTAACTTAATAGGTGCTTTAAAGAAGCAGGTTTACATATATCATCATTTCAGACTTTTCAAAGACAGTTCAGGTTATTATAGTTAACTAAAACTAACTAAATAATGAAAACTGAAATTGAAAAAGCATTTTAGTTAACTGAAATAAATAAAAACTGTAGTAAAATGAAAAAATATAACTAAAACTGTATAACTTTTTACAAAACTAACTAAAACTAACTGAAATAATAGATAGAATATCCTTAGTTTTAGTGTTTGTCAATTTATTTTGAGTTGTGTGGACTGATTAAACTACTTTTTTTCTTCAAATTAAGTAGTTTCACATTAACTGTGGGCAGCTTACAGCGCCTCATGATCCATAACATCACCTGTTTACAGTCTGCTGCTGCTGCTGCTCAGAGCTCGCCTGCAAGATGACGACAACAAAAGTTGGGAGAAACCAGTAAAGTCCGATTTGGGATTTCTTTAACTATGAGTGTGTGAAAATTAAAATCTTCTCATAGTGGGAACAGGTAGAATAGGTGGAATACTTCTCAAGGGACTAATTAACTGAGTATCTTGACAAGTTAGCTCCTCTAATAGTTCACATGAAAAACAAGCCACAGCCCAGCCAGGTAGCACCAGGATCTAGACATCACCTTCTTAAAACAATTGTCCAAGTTTTTAGTTGGCAAAATTGAGTTACTGGATTATTTTAGGAAGGTGTTGCTATAACGGACTGCTTTGACTGACGATCAAAAAGCTGCTGCTTAGTTAACTCACAGGAACACTTCAAGCTGGAGGATGCATTGGCAAATAWATTTATTCAAACTACAAACAAATAAAAAAATTAAAAAACAACTAATACTACAACTAATAAAAACTAAACTAAAACTAAGCATTAAAAAAGCAATAATAACTAATAAAAACTAGCAAATCCACGCTAAAACGAATTAAAACTAACTGAACTGAAAGAAAAAATGTCACAACTAAATAAAACTAAACTATAATGAAAAATCCAAAACTATTATAACCCTGAGACAGTCTGATGATAAAGATCTTAATTTTTTCAGGTCTTCCTAAATTAGTAATTAACCGTTCAGCCTCTCACCGTGCGTTTTCAGCTTGTCTGTTGTTTTGTTAATTTTACGCTCCAATCTGGCATATCTTGCAAACTCATCCATCATGCTGATGGAGGACTGCTCCTTCTTCATCTGCTGGATTTCAGTCCTCATCTCACCCTCCTGCTCGGCATCTTTCTGCACCAGCTTTGTGAGCTTGAAAAATAGCAGGGAGACACAGTTACAGAGTAGATAGAGCAGACAAATAACCAGAGGCTTTCAAACTGTAAGAGGGAGGTTATTTCCAAACAGGTTTGATTTAATTAATTAAATTATTTTCCCCCAGAAAATGGTTATATGGATGGGATTAATCTAAATACCTTGTCCCAGAACCCAACAAATGATAAACATCTGACTGACACTGACGATAKTGGATTTCCCCGACTTTATAAAAGGTTGACAGTCAAAAATAGGGTGAAATACTAGCAATACAGCTAAGCTGTAAATAATAAACAGTACAAACTTTACTAGCATTGCGTTAATAATGTTGCATATTTTCTTTCTAATGTTGAACTGTATGCATGTCTATATTTATTTCTGAGCTCTTTGTAGTTAAAGGACACAAATATGTAGCTTAGCCTGTTTTAGCCCATTCAAAGTAAGCTAGCTCACGGTCACTTCAAAGGCTAAGCTAGCTAGCAGTAAACAAATGATTTACGCTTGAGAAAGGACAGCGACAAAATAAAAACAAATTCCCGGACTTAGCTGCTTTCTTTATGAAAGCGTTTGCTTCTTACTTACAAAAGAGGATATGGTCGGCAGAAGTGTTTTCATCAGGTTGCAGAGAAACACGGAGCTGAGAACCAGGAACCACGCCATGTTTTTCACCTGGCTGTGTGGAGCTGAGCTGCTGTGTGAAATAATCATACAGAGAGAGGACAGACTGCTCTCACAGAGCTTTTACCAACTCTGAAGCTGCTGTCTTTGAAGGAGAAACCAGTCATACAACTTATAGCACAACGCTTCTTTTATTTACATGTTAGGTTTAATTACAGTACATTTAGATATGATTTAAAATGACAATGAAAGCTACAGTGTTTTCTTATCAGTGTTTGATTTAATTAGATAATATATAGACTTATTTAGTCCAAGACATTTGTCAAGATGTAGGTGGTTGAGTTATGGCAAGCTGTTTTGACATACAATCAAACCACACTCCCATCTTTATAGAGCAGAGGTGCCCAAACATTTTTTCCCGAGAGGGCCAAAATGAAAATCTATTCACGGCTGTGGGCCAAATGCAGTACTATAATACATGAAATATAAATACTTTTTAAGTAAAGTCCTTTATTTTTAACAATTAAGCTAGCAGCCAGTGCAATGGCCCTCTTTTGTTTTATGCTGCGTTCACACCGAACGCGATTTCAGCTTCAAAATCGCATCCAACGCTTCAAGTTGGTCGCTTGTGCACTTTGAGGTCAGACGCAGGTCAGCTCTTGAAGCGCTGCACAGCAAGAGCCTCCCCGCCCCTCCCTCCTCTGTCGGGCTCTGTTTAATGTYGGACGAGGAAGTGGCTTTGCTTTATTTACAGAGAGCAAGAGCATGTCACGTTCATCAGATAATTAATTCATAATTAATTCACCAGATAATTCAGAGKAGAGGCTCACAGCTCGCTTTCAGGACTATTTTTGTCCCGAGTCCAGTCTGATGAGCCGCTGCCAYRCATTGGTGCGGATATCTCCTGTCAGGACACCGACTGCAGGCACTCGATTTCAGCCAAAGAGCTCCTCTCCATCTGTTTCAGGTTAGTGGACATCATTCAGTAAACTGTCCCGTCGGGAAATATGTCWCTACGTCACACAGTGGAGTCTCTCTGATTGGTTGACGCGGCGCGTCGAGCTGCAAAAGTTCAGATTTTCTAACTTCAGCGATTTGCGCATCAAGCACTCGAACGCTCAGATCGTTCAAATCGCGCTGCTCTAATTGCGCTTGAGGCGCCGCAGCACTTCCCGACGCTGATTGAAGCGCGTCCACCATAGACTTTGCATGTAAACCTGATGCTCCTGATGCTGAAATCGCATTCGGTGTGATCGCACCATTAGTCTGAGCACTTTGAGAAAGGCTGCCTTACGCTCAAGTAGCAAAGGCTCATGAGACATTTCATAAATTGATCAAATATGAGTTTTTGCGGCCTTATAAAGTGTGCAAATCTACATGTGGGGTTAAATCTGATCTAAATATCTCTTGTTGTTACTTCATGTTTCCTGTTTAATCCTAATATATCAAAGATAAAGTCAGCACCATGAACGAAATCTACCTTAAGCCCTTTATATAGTCATTTGACCAATGGAAATCCTGTGTTTCTACATATGATGACAGGTTAAAACCTTGGAACTTTGGCAACTGTTGGTGGGCCAAATCAAATGGCTTGATGGGCCAAATTTGGCCCACGGGCCCCACTTTAGGCTCCTCTGCTCAAGAGGGCCAAAATGAAGAAGTATTCGGGGCTGGGGGCCGAATGCAGTAATATAATAAATGAAATACAATTTTTTTAAGTAAAGTCCTTTATTTTTAACAATTTAGCTATAGCAGCCAGTGTGGTGGCCCACTTATATTTTAGCTTGTAAAATTGGAGAAAGTCTGCCATACACTCAAGTAGCAAAAGCTCACACATTTAATAAATTGATAAAATATGAGTTTTTCTGGCCTTGTAAAGTGTGAAAATCTGCATGCTTGGTTAAATCTGATCTAAATATCTCTTGTTGTTACTTGTATTTCATGCTTCATGTTTAATCTTAATATATCAAAGATAAAGTCAGCACCATGAGTGAAACTATCTGCACTCCGGTCCCTTATAGCCCACTGGATGAAATGACTACCGGTAAGTGGAAACTGGGTTTCTACATAGAATGACAGGTTACAGCCTAGTAACTACTCAACTGCTGGTGGGCCAAATCAAATGAGACTTTAATCCATGCGTTCATTACATCTCGCCTGGATTATTGCATTGTATGTTGGGATCAGCCAGGCCTCCTTTGCACGCCTTCAGCTYGTCCAGAATGCAGCAGCTCGGCTTTTAACAGGTACACGTAGGTCTGAGCACATTACACCTGTTCTCTCCTCCCCTCATTGGCTCCCCATGCAAACTAGAGTCGACTTTAAAATCCTGCTATTAACCTATAAATGCCTAAACGGCCTTGCACCCCTCTACCTCTCAGAGCTACTGAAACCATATGCTCCTTCGAGGGCTCTGAGATCATCCGATCAGATGCTTCTGGAGGTTCGAAAAAACAAGGTTGAAGCTCCGAGGAGATCGGGCGTTTTCAGTCATTGGTCCCAAACTCTGGAATAACCTGCCCCTCAACATTAGGCAGGCCACTTCTGTTCACCATTTCAAGTCATTACTTAAAACCATCTTTTCTCTCTGGTGTTTCATACTGAGTGAGTAGACTTAGTGCCGTTTATGTGTTTCTTTTAATGCTAGTCTCGTTCAATAGATGATATTTTTATTTTTATTTTACTTGCTGTTTTTATTGTCATTATTGCTCTGTGTGTTACAGTGTTCTGTTTTAATTTTCTATTTGTTGTAAAGCACCTTGATAACAGTTTATCTGTTTTAACTGTGCTATACAAATAAAGATGACTTGACTTGAYTTGGTGGGCCAAATTTGGCTCGCGGGCCCCACTTTGGGCTCCTCTGTTATAGAGCTTTTCAGACCAATATCCACAACAGATGACTTTAATTTTCAAACAGGTTTGGATTTATGAGTGGCAATAAAAATGTGCAATTTTACTCTGTAGAATAACAAGACATGCTCAAATAAACACAGTGCATGGTAATAACCACCACAAGGTTCAGTGACTAGTCCCCTACCTTTCCTGCATCACTCTGGTGAGCTTCCATCTACAATGTGAGCCAAACCATTTAACAAATACATACTCATCATAAATACAACTGGAAATAAATGCCTAGAGGCTGTTTTATTACAACACTTGTGTCCAGAAGACAGCATTTGTTTTATATAGCAGAACAAGATACAATTTTTACTGAAACCATAATTTGTCTCTGAATTTCTCTTGTTTGCATGTACATTCAGACAAGTAAGCAACTCCTAAATGCTCAAAAACAATGTTTGTTTTCATGTTTATGAGGTTCTAATTCTTTAAAAAAGCTTTGGACTCAGGAGAATAAGCTGTGGTCAAAGGAGCTACCATTTTTAAGGGGTGACCATCATCTTTTTTTTTTTTTTTTGCTCACCTTTGGTGGCGCCCCTGCATATGAGATATTTAATTGAATTTAAATAATATATAAAATTTCAGCTAAAATGTTTGTTTTAACTTGGGAAGATTTGAACTATAAGTATCAGCTATGACAAACCTGTCCAACTATTGTATGACAAATCGACTTGCCTTAAGCCACCTCTGCAGCGCAATTTAATTATGCTTCTTCGGACTGATTGGCATCCCATCCTGCCCACACAGGTACGATGTTGTGTTTCAAAATCCTGCTGCCTTGACCTCAAAGCCAATCACTGGCAGCTGTGGGCGGAGCTTGACTCTTCCTGCTAGGTTGGTAGGATAAGGGATAAATTATACCGACAGGGCTATCCAATCCGGTTCGAGCTAGTCCTGGTATTAGTCGGACTAATGTCACGTAACAAACGCATTGCTCCGGAGGCTGAGGTGTGCGGCTGACCCAAATCTTCTGTGGTTCTTCTGACGCTAACATTTAAAGACTTAATTATCCTGCCATAAACTAATCTACAATGGGAAGGAAAAAAGTAAGTGTTAYACGTGTGCATTAAAGCGGGTAAGCTGTATATAATTGGTTTTAAATTTAAGCGCTACGGTAATTTATGTATTTAAAGCGTGTATTTTTCGGTGCAGTTGTGTCTCGTTTTGTGTCATTGCGGACGTGCACGTCTCGAGTCCACGTCAGATGCGTTCAGGTCAATCGCGTTTAAACCGGGAAGTGGCACYTTTTTTTTTTTTTTTACTCTGCAGGCCAACATACCTTTACGTTAGAACAAGTTTGAGATTTGTACAGTCACGTCGTGTGGTCGGACCTCCCTCCTTCGCTGTTTTACAGTGTTTAGTTTTAAAACGTGAGCTGAGTAAATACGTGAAAGGAACCGAGCAGCGTTAAGAAACCGGTTTTAACTTAAAGTAATTACGGTCGTGAATGCCTCAGGTTAGATAAGCACGTGGTGCGTTCATGAACGTCGGATTTTTTAATTTCTTCGCTTTTACACGCTTTCCGCCATGTTTGCTGGAAGCATTTTTTTTAAAGAATTTAAATCTGTAACCATTTAAAACTGTGAAAATGTACAGTCTTTTCTAGAAGATCATCATGGCAGCTGATATCTCCTGGACAACACAGCGATAGAGCTGGTTGTATTAAAAATGAGCTGAAGCACAAAAATTGTTTTGTGGATGGGTTAAAACAAAGAAAATAAAGTCCGAGCCCTTTGGCGGGGTAAAGTTAGAAACGCCCCTGACCACATTATCCTACAGATTACATAATATTTTGTGACTTCATGTGAAAGGAGAACAGCCCACCTTTGCATTACACACCCACTTTAGCACACACATGAGTGGTTGTTTTTCAAGGCTTGTTAATTTTTTCCCCCTCTTTAACTTTGACAGGCAACCTCTGATGCAGATGCAAGTGCAGAGGTAAGTAAAAGCATCCCAACATGGAAAGTGTTTTTTTTTTTCTCTCAATTTTTAAAAATCCCATTAGRGATGACATCATTTGGCCATTTTAAAGTGGTGTTTTGTAAACATTTACCAGGTCATGGTAGCTCTTTGAAAGGCCTTCGATTTGAGGAATAAGGGTTAAGGACTAAAGACTGACACGGAAAACAAAAWTTTTATTTCAAAATAGTTGAGGTGACTTTTGCAATGCTGGTAATTTCTCAATATCCAATTAACACCATATTGGTTGCTTGCAAGCATTACCAGTAGCCGTAAGCGTTGCACTTCTGTTCATTTTTGCAGTACTTTTTACTAAAATATAGTATCTCACTGGACTGACTGCCTAGTTGGCAGCAAATTGCATTTGCAAGAGGGTCTCCAAATTATTTTTAGGTATTCCTGGGCATTTTAAGTTAATCACAAATGTTGCAAAGCTTTTTTTTTGTATAAAAATGGTTTGATTCAATAGTATCAGAGCTGTATTTTGACACATACACTTGAGCTCACTAATGAAAACGTACCATAAAAACAATTAGTCCACATGTGCCTATTTTCATTTCTAAAGTGCAGTCTTGTAGAAGATATCATGAACATGAGGTGGGTATAAAGTGGGTGGAGCTGGACAACAAAATAAGACCCAGCCAAGAATACAATATTGCAAACTGTTCACAGACAAAAAAAAAAAGGTTGCTCAAAGCACAGCCTAGCCACTTGGTCCTAAACACTCAGGATGCAGCAAGACGGCAAAGGGAAATTTGCTTGTTTCTTGCAATTTTGAATCTCCAAAAGTCGCATCCCAGTTGGTTACTATATTAAACTTGTAATGTAAAATTGTAATGGATGTGTTTTAGGGTTGAATAGTGGCATTTATGTAAACGTAATGACAAATTTAAAGGGTGGAGTTGTTTTAAAACATCCCAAACATCTTAGAAAGTGAGTTCTCTTGGACAAGCCAACATCCGCTCATTAGTACAGTCTGAGAACTCTCCCCTGAGTAAATGTTTTCCAATTTAAAAAAAAAAGGTATATTTATGCAAACCCTAACTTATAAAGCTGCACAGGACATTATTACAGTATTCCTGTAGAAATATTAACAATCTCTTGTGGGAAATGACTCCAGTCTGGACCAGAGGTGACATTTTCACTTGCAGATGCCCTTAAAATCCCCTGTAAACAACTAAATTAGGATTTGCATAAAAGGCTGTGAATTTTAGAGAATAACGTTGTCTTAATATGGCTACAATATATTTTAGTCATGCTTGGACTTCTCTAAACTGGGGTCATCCAAAAAGCTAAGTATTAAATGTTTTTACAGAGTTACCTCTTAAAGGGTATCATGTATTTTCCGGACACATAGCTTAATTCTATACCACAATCAACTATTTCCTTCAGTTTTTGTAAAAAGGCTTTATATATCAAAAATAAATTAGACTGCGTTATAGTCCAAGAACCTTGAAATTGGCCCCTGTCTCTTTAAGAACCTCCTACCGTTTCTGACACTCCCACTTCAGCACGTTTTCAAACGATGCTTCGGGGAAGGGTGCTCTGGTGCCAGAGCTCGGCTGCAGACTGAGCTCCAGGGAGGAGCTTTGTGTAAATAGGCGGTGCTTTGTACCAGCAAGTGTTTAGAAATCTCSACGTGGCCACAGGAGATTCAGGGATTTTTTTCAAACATTCATGAATGAGTCAAAGCAACACTCTGGGTATGCTTTTGATGAGGGAATGACAACATGACAAAGCTCAAAGAAGTCTTTTGGATAATACCCCATCCCCCTTGAAAATGTTGATCTGTCAATTCAAGGCTGCACAAGATTTAAAAACTGGTTGTGGTTGAATTATTTTTATTTAGATATTACCAAATCTTGCTCTTTCATCATAACACTATTTTCTGCATGTTAATGTTTTAGTCACTATCATCTAATTTACATGTGGGCATTTTAGGTCAGTGGGGGTCCACCTGATTCAGTTATAGTGTTGAACATAATTTGAATGCATTGCACTTAAAAATAATAATCCATTTTATTCTTGCTGTTTAAAAAGTCAATAGTATTCCACATTTTTGATATATTTTAATTGATTACATGTTCCGATCTAGTTCTAATACTAGATTAACTAGAACTTTAAAGTTGCTCTTCATCCAGCAGAGGCCAGTAGAAACTACAGAGTCCACCGCATCAGAAACAGACTTCCTTAGTCTGTGTAGAAATATAACAAGGGTGCAAGGAAGTAATTAAACTGTTTACTATTCATGGTCTCAGTTTGTGAATCATATCCTGCCTTTTTTTCTTTCTGGCTTTTTTTCATTCCTGTAATTAAAAAAAAAAAAATCAGAATCAGCTTTATTGGCAAAGTATGTTTACACACACAGAATTTGTTTCCGGCTGATGTCTCTATAGACAATATGGCGACAAAAGCATATAAAACAAATACTATACAATGTAAACATTTTTTATTATGCTATACTTTTATTTTCTGCATTGTAAGATTAAAAAAATTCACATGCATGACACAGATGGACTTCTGAAACAACTTTTCTATCGAGTATTTAAAGTCTTGTATCTTAACTGAATTTGTGTCTGAATTGTAGGATTATGTTTCTTGTTTATTTATCTTTGGTTTATGGATAATTATTGGATCCAGAGTTTTTTAAGAATGTTTTTCTGACTCTTAAAGAATTTACCAGCTGATTATTATTTGTTTTCTCTCTTCAGCCGAGGCGAAAGTCTCAAAGGTTGTCAGAAGTAAGTTCCACAAAGACCCTGATGATTTAAAAAAAATAAATAAAAGTAACTCTACTTTCACAAGCATGATGTTTATGCTGTATTTTTGCTTTACAGAAAGAGACGCAGCCCAAACCACAGCCGGAAAAGAAAAAGGTACAAAAATACATTTATTTCACAAGAGCACACAGGTATTTTATTATGTTAAACTTGAATTTGACAGTCCACCTCATGCTTTGGTTTGTTGGTCATGGTAGGCGCCACCAAAAACCAAGAAGGTGAAGGAGGCAACAAAGGCCAAGGCTGAAGAGAAGGAAGAACCCCAAGTGGAAACTCCTGCAGAAAATGGGGCAGACCAATCTGATGAGGTACCTTTTGGCTCTTTGGGTTTGCCTTGTAAATTTTGAAAAGAATAAAGCCATAAAGCGTGTTTCCCTTATCTCCCAACAGGCTGCAGGTTCAGATCAGACCGACGAAAAGGAGGACAAGGCTGAAGAGGAGAAGGAAGCGGCAGAGTAGAGCTACCTGCGCCTCCTTTTTGTTGTAAAATGCAGAGAATATTTTTAGCTACTATTTTCTAAAATTGTTTTTAGGGGTGTGATTGTGTTTTATATACTATTACAGTTTCGGAGCTTTTGTAAAGGGAGACTTTGTCGCCGTGTTCTTATTTTGTCACATACCTTTTATCAGGAATGGGAGAGTTTAATGGGAAGAGGAAGTAATCAGCTGTACTCGTTCTCAAAATGTTGTCTGCTAGTTAAGGGAACAATTTGCAAGATTCCAAACTGTCTTCTGTGCAAAGCTCTCAGTAGAAATTGATGTTTGTTTTTATCCTCTGGTACACTTCAAAGCAGTTGGAGACAAATGTTCTCGGCTAATCAAGGTGCATTAAAGAGCTAGTGTCTGTTTGTCCTGTAAGAATAACTGTGTGGTTTGGGAATTTCTCTATCAATGTACAGTTTCCTCCTTTTTAAAGAAATGTCTTTTTTTTGTTATGGATGGTATAAAATGCCAATTAAATTGAGAAATTTCTTTATCAGGGTTTTTTCCCCCCAGAGTGCTCTGTATTTTGTAGAGCTACACAATATTGGGAAAACATGCAGCTGTGATACTGTTAACTTATGACCACATCAGATGCTATCCTCCACCCCCTGATTTCTCTCTCACTTCTCTATAGTTTCACTTGATTGGCCAAGTACTTAAAGATGCAAAGAATGGCTGCATTGCATCTAAATGTAATAATTTATGGTTTAATATTGACAAGGTTATGTGTACTTTTATAGATACTTTGCAAGCTGCAATAATGAACATGTTGAAAAGAATTTTCTGCCAAACTATGATATGCTAGGATTTTATGATAGACTAACACTTAAGTTTTCACAAGTAAATATCTAAAAAAACGAAAATGGATCATTTGTACTCGGCCGCCTTTACTCTGATATCCCTAACTAAAATCTATCTAGGTGCCTTCAAAAGTCGCCTGTGTATAATTTAAGCTCACTACAGAGACAGCGGTTCTGTGAAGGCCTCAAATGAGAGAGAACACTAGTGATCAAGTCGAATCATGAAGACCAAGGAATGCACCAGACAAGCTGGGGATAAAGTTTCCAAGTTTTAAATCAGTTACGTTACAAAACGATATCCCAAGTTTCATTATTTCACCATATACTGATCAAACCATTATTCAAAACTGGACACCTACTGATGCTTTACTTGAGAGCTGTTTATAACCTTGAGACAAAAAATATGAACCAAAACAAGTCCATAAATACAGATGCCTCTGTGCAAACATCTAAAACTATGGTTCACRTTTGAACAGATGTAACTCAAGTGCAGACAAACCTCTGCTTATGGCTGTTGGAGGCTTTTTTTTTAACATCAAGTGTATTACAGTTTTTATTCCTGAGGCAAAAAATAAACCTTAGTGCACTTGAAATATTTCCATTTTAATTTTTTTAAACCTCACAACAAATTTGTGTTGTACTGTTTGTTGATCTGCTTCATATGTAGTCCGTATATACAACAAACTTTAAATGTAAGCTTAATTTTACATCAGTTGAGTTCAGATAGTTATTTCTGTGGAAGTAGTTTGAGATTAAAAACTGCAGAATTAAGTCCATTTAGGTATTATTAAAACAAAGCTGTAGGAATATTTTTCGATTAATGGCATATTTGTGCTCTATGTTGTAAAATCACTGATCTGACAGTTTTAAACTGCATAATTAAATCTATAATTAAGAATAACATAAGCTAACAACAATGACGTCAGATGCAAAGCTCACGACCTTGTTGAAAACAAGGTGGGGGGATGGGGGAGTATCATTACAGCATTGTGTGTATTTTTGTTTTCATAGCCTAGTCTAAATTAAAAAGAAAAGGCTGAATGTGTCTCATTTTACGTTTAAGTAGCATGGTTGTTGCTAGCCTTCAAGCTAACTTCTACGTGTGTCTTTTGTTTGCTTGAACCGCTCCTCCTCCCTGCCCCCCTTTTCCTGTGTTCCTCCGCGGTGGCGGAAGTAAGTCGTATCGCCGAGGCCTCATCCTTCCAATGGCGACTGCAAACAGGCTGAATAGAAAGCGGGAGCAACCGTGGAGGGAGGTCAGCGCCGTGTAGCCGAAAAATAAATAAATATATCACATTCTCTATAGCCATAAAGTTTTCCCGGAATCTGGTTCACCTCTCCAAAACGCGGCCGATTCCATGGCCAAAAATCGGAACATTTCGCTCCTTGAGTCGGGTAAGCCGCAGAAAGTAAACCCAACATTTCATTTACGTGTCGTGCTAATTGATTTGCCAAGTGTTTTTTATTCCTGGCCGCTAACATAACTCTGCGTTTAATTTCAGAGCTCTATTACTTGATTTCTCGTTTCCTAACTACGGGTCCCTGTCAGAGAGCGGCTGAGGTGAGCTGGCGAGCTTTGACTAGCATAGTTTGTTGTATTCCAGCATAGTTGACAATAATRGTTATTAGCGGCTTTCTGATCGGTAACGTGTTCTTAATCCTCCGCAGGTCCTCGCCCGTGAACTAGAGGAACATCAGGTCTGTATTTTAGCTAAATGCTTGYTCGTTAAATGCTAACTAGCGGCTRTCCGTCGGTGTTGAAGGAGTCTCGGCATAAAACTTGCCAAACTCAGTCGACTTTTTAATACCCCCTTTCGTCTCACTCATTTGACATCACCCGGTTTTTAAGCTAAATGTGTTCCTGCTCGGTTTTTCCAAGACTCCACTTTTTATCAAACTCTGTATTTTGACAGCTCTTACCAGGAAGATTGGACTGGCTGGGAAACGAGCACCCGAGAACATATGAAGATGTGGTGAGATTTAGCTTTATTTAAAATTGAAGTTCATTGTAGACGATTGTTATTGTCCTCTGACAAGGGGCTGTATGTGTGTGTGTGCGTGTTCATGCTCTGTGCTTGTTTACGGTCTTTGTTCTGTCTCCTTCTGGACTACGGTTTCRTATCTTTTGAGTGCAATAAGCAAAAGAGACAAACCTAGTCCCCGCCGAATAAACCTTTGCGAGTAAACTTTTGGAAGGGGGCCGTGAAAACYGCATTAAATTGGAGTTAAATGTTATTTTGTCACAGCTGTCGTATTGCAGCTAGGCTGGGTAGTTCGGCTTCTCGTTACGCTTCAGGCCGCTTTACCGACCAATCACAGGACGAGTTGCTCCATCGCCTCGTTATTCTGCTTGTGACCTGTGCTGTGATTGGTCCATTAAAAAAAGACAAATTTGCATAAGATGCCACGCCTTATGGGAGGACTAAGACATGAAAAGGACTACTTTAACACAAATTTATGAAATAGCAAATTGTTACAATTTGTACACTAATACAGGGGACTAAATACCTTTCATACTAGTGTGCAAAGCTTAACCCAAGTTATTGCAAATCAACTAATGTTCTTTTAAKTGTATAACAATTTTTATTAATGTTAAATAGAAACAGAAAGCCACTGCACATTAGAAGAACAGGCATGTTTCAGAAACRGTAGTTGTGGAAACATTAAATATTGACAGATACACACATTTAACTGACTAAAGTTTTGCACAGTTCAGAAACAGATTAGCTCATTATTTCATATTCTACCTTCTTTGTTTTTCTGCTTTGTTTTTGAATGTTTTAGTCCTAGCAGAAGAGTAACCTTACATTACAGGTTAATTGTTGTACCTACCAATGCATAGTTTTGGAAAGATGTTGCTAAAGAAAAAATAATGAGAAGATTAAATCAGTTTCAGTCATTRGGCCAGTCTGTTTTACAGTGGTAGTACTCTGTGGCAGCTGACTGTTCTGGCTTTGGTTTCCGTGACAGGTCGTGGCCAACAGACACATAGCACCTGACCATTTGCTCCGGATATGTAAACAAATTGGACCACTCCTTGACAAAGAGGTGTCATCATGTGTCCCAGGTGTACACTCRCTGCTGGGGTCTGGAAAGCAGTCCATGCTCAGAACTGCAAAAGGTACCATCATCTTGTAMAGTTTTAAGCAGAAAACGTTTATGTAGTTCAAATTGTTTAGTTATTAGAAATATTCCAACAGCTTACATGTGCAGTTGCCACAGATGAAAAATTTGGTTCTCCCAATGCATCTGCTTAACTGTTAAATCTCTGTGTAAACTGTGTGTTTTACTTATTTATTTTTAATATTTTCTTCTTCAGACTGCGACAATGTGCGGTTGAAAGCTTCGACATATGCAGCCCTTCACCGGGGCAGACCACCAGAGAGGCCTTTGAACAGCAAACAACTTCCACACCTGGGTAGGTCTCACGTCGCTCTCTATTCCTCTGTGTGGTAACAAATGAAATGAGCCACAGGATGCGCTTGGATTGTTGTGTGCACTTGCTGCACTTTCGTCTYAAATTTCATCTTGGTTTTGTGGCCTAGAAGTCATTGTTGGTTTATTATAGAAAACTTTATTGATAAATTTAGTTTCGACTCATTGTTGTCATGATTCAGTTAGATTTTTTTTAATCACTGCATCTTACTGTGTTTGTATTGACTCAAAACCTAAATTCAAAACTTATCAGTCCTGGTTGATCCTGTCATGAGGCACCTTTTGCCTTTAGACTTTCAGAGTGATTCTTGTTAAACCTGTTTGCAGCAGTGTTTTCCATCTGAAGTCTGTCCTGCTGCAGGAACATAAAACATACACACACAAACATCCTTGTACTTGCCTCAAACTGAGGACTTTATTTGACTTCCGTTCATTTTTGTAACTGTATTTATGCCTAACCCAGACATTTTCCMTAACAATCTGGTCTATTCCTAACCCTAACCTGAACCAAAACCTAACTAGTAAAGCAGCTGGAAATAAAGTGAGGACATTGAAGAGGTCCTCAGTTTACATCAAAGACCTAAATTTGATAGTAACTGTGGTGCAAATGGTCCTCATTCTGTAGTAGAAACAAGTACACACATACAYCTTCAGGGTCCTCATGGCTTTCGATGTAAACATAGAGTTGTGGTTTCTTTCGGCTTCTCCCTTCTGAAGGGGTCGCCTCAGCAAATGCTTTCACATGAAAGATTTGGCAATTGTTTTGTGCCGGATGTTAATACTGATGCAGCCTGGGCTCAAACCTACAGCCTCAGGATTATGAGACCGCAGCACTGACCATACACCGCAGCCCATTTCTGTGTGAATGTAGAGCAGCAGTACAACACGTCTGAGGACATGCTTCTGTCCAGATCAGTTTTTCTCTGAAGTCCACGTTTAGAGATTTTTTTTTTCCAGTATTCCTTAATGTTGTAGAGAATCATGTTTTAATGAGCTTGAGTGAAAAATAACTTGATAAAAGCATATGTTATGATCAAATGGAAGGTAAAATCGTTTAAAGCAGTTTTTGTTTTTGATGATCAATTTTAAAATATATTAAATCCGAAACCAGTAAAAATGTTGAGCGTGTTCATTTTACTTTAAAAACAGAAATGTGCAGTCAACATGAWTGATACAAGAAAAAACATTTAAAAAAGTAATGTATAGGCAAAACAAGGTTGTGATAAGGTCTTGGAAAAACCGCATAAAGTGTTTTCATCCTATTTTGACTCCCCTCAGCACTCCACCCTATCCCGATTTTAAATTCATTTTGTTGCAGTCCAGCCCATCTGGAAGGTTTCATCACTGTTTTCTCATCTTTTGTGTCTTTTCCAACAGTAAAGGTGTATCGAGGGAGAGAGCTGACAGGAGTGCAGCGCTTCAGCTCCATCAGTCCTGTTKGCAACTACGAGCACATGCGTCTGCATCGGCGTATTCTGGGGCATCTGTCTGCAGTGTACTGTATCGCGTTTGATAGAACCGGTCTTCGTATCTTCACAGTAAGACGCAACATTTGCTACAACTGATAAACTCACATTTCTATGACCGGCTGTATTAAATGGATGAATTGCTCATCTGACTGTGGATACATTTAAATCATTGTGAAAATATCTAATTTAGGACCCGAATCTTACTTTTCTGTCCCTGAACTAAAAATTATATACTTTCCTTTTTCCATTTTTTTAAGGGCTCAGATGATTGTCTAGTGAAGATCTGGTCTTCTTTTGATGGAAGGCTTCATTCAACGCTGAGAGGACATGCTGCAGAGATCACAGACTTGGCTGTCAACTATGAGAACACACTAATTGCTGCAGGAAGTTGTGACAAAACCATCCGTGTGTGGTGCCTTCGTACCTGTGCCCCCGTGGCTGTGCTGCAAGGACACAGTGGATCTATTACCTCCCTACAGGTAATATACTGTTATATTATTATTACTAATAATAATACTAGTATTTTTTTAAAGCTCTTTCCTGTCCGTTAAAGGAAGGACAAGTAGAACTTTTTTTTTCCTCTTCATACCACTATGCTAAAATAACTTTATTAAGGTAGTTAAGTGTAAAGGTTTAACCTTACCTTCTTATAACAATGTTATAAGGAATCTATTTTAGCAAGGATCTCTTTATTTTCAGTAAAATACTCTTCCCGTGCAAAGTGAATGGACACACAAAAGTGACCCTCAGTCAGTGAATTTTGATTTGATCCATAAATAAATGCGATCGTTTTTTTTTTTTTTTTTACAAATCAGACAAAATCACTAAAGTACACTTAATTGTGAGCAATCAGTTTCCTATGAAATTTTAGGATCGACAATAACAAGCGCTTCGAGCTTCTGTAAGTGTCAACCACAGGCACTTAAATAGAACACAAACGCCAAGTTTAGATGTTTAATAYCAGACATTTGAGGCAAATACTTAGGGTTGGCAAGTTAGGTTTTGAGAAAAGGAGGAAGTAAGGTGTTAGCTTTCCTACTTTTAACTTAAATAATGTGGAATAGCCAGAGAGGCGAGGCRTTCTCTACTTGGTGTCGGCCAGACAGCGATACTCATAACAGCCAGCTTTACCTTTTAAAGATGAGGTCAGTCACACCCACAGCTGGATTCTGGATATGTAGGGGTCACCTCRAGTGAAATAATCAAGGAAACTGTCTTGGACCTCAGAGTTTTTGTCCTTTTAAATGTCCATCAGAGGTCTGAGGTCCAAGACAGTTTCCTTGATTATTTCACTCGAGGTGACCCCTACATAAGCATCATTCCTCAAAGCCGCATTGTACTTTTTGGCCCAATATAAAATCCTGGCTCTCGGTGTCACAGTTGCATGATGAAAATTGCGTTATTTTGTTTGCAGGTTCGAGTTTTCCGCCCCTTTTTGTCACAACCCACCAGGAGAACTTTTCACCCTCCTTCATGTTAGAAATTCTTATGATTGTTCAGAAGTTTGTGGACGTGTTTATGTTGAAAGTGCTCAGACACGACATTTTGCTTCAAGTATTCCATTTTCAGAATCCACCTGTTGTACCCAGAAGCAGACTCATAAAGAGAGTTAAATGGTCAAAAACTCACAGATGTTGTGCACGGAGGAGTGCGTCTGCCAAAAGTTGTGGTGTTCTAATCGGGACAGATTTGTGGGGAAAATAAAGGCGGGTGTTAGAGGGTTTTTATTTTTCCACACTGTACACTCCACTGGGAAGAAACCCAGTGCAGTGATGTGTACCACAGGGACTGGTTTCCCTGGAGCTTGGTGAGGTGTGTCTCAGGCTATGAAAGGTGTGAGACAACGAATGTCAAACAACCACGTGATCACACGTCGACTATTCCCCTTCAGATTTGCTACAAAGGATCCTTAAGAATTCCTTAGTTTTGTGCATCTTGTAGTCCAAACCGTTATTCAGATCAGTCTATTCATGCTTGCGTACCTGCTTCCCAGGGTGGAAATGACAGTGTTCACTTGAAATATTTTGGCATTCAGTTCTCTACCAGCTAAAGACAGAAACAAACCAATTGAGGTCATATTTTAAAAGGTTCTTTCTGAGCAATCAAAACATTTTGCCAGTGTAAAGTCAAGATGAATATGTTTGCAAAAAAAAATGTTCTAGTTCTGTCACTAATTATGTGCTGCTGGCTGTAACGGTTTATTTATAAAGATAAAATAGACTGTTCTGTGTTGTTTGCTGTATTTGTGATGTTTGAGAGTCTTCATGTCTTGAGACATCAGTGTAACTTTGGACTGAAACAACACACCTCTCAGCTAAGTTTGTATGTTTATATTTTATGACTCATGGTTACATCAGAAGTGACAGGATGTTTTAATTTTATTTTCTCCAGTCACACTGATGTCTTTGTCAGCTGCTTGCTCTCTCTGCCGCTCATCCAGCAGACTGCCATCAAGTTGGTCGATTAGAGGGCCTGTTTAAAGTTTATTACATTGTTGATGTTGAGCTCCGAGTCGGCCACAGTTCAACCGAACGAGGAAATGAAAAAAATAATTGGAAATGCCAATATTGCATTTTGGCTGTTAACACAAAGAAACATTATCTCTGATCTAATGTTGTCTTTTTGTCATGTTTTGTGTTGTTTCCTGTTTTTTTGTGTAATTTAGAGCAGTCACAGCATCACATACACAGGGGTAGACATAACCATTGTTTAGGTTGTCCAAGACAACCTATTTTCGTTTCGGACAACCAGATCSTGTCTCCTGGTTGTCCGGTGGACAGCCAAGCAAATAAGACCTTGATTAAAGTTCTCTGATTAAAGATGTCCATCATTTGTAAAAAATAAAAGGGAGAAAAAACTTGGTAAAACTGAACAGAACACTAAATTGTAACTTTTAATAAGGCCATGTACACAGGATACTCCTATTTAAGTGAAAATGTTGACCTATGAGCAGAAAGAAGCTTATGAATGTTGAACTCTATTTGAAGAAAATTAGGAAATTTTATTCATGCAGCTCCTGTCAACCTGGCTGACTGAGAACAATTATATATAATAAACTTCATCTACAGAACAATATAAGTGTTACATTACATTTTTCTTGAGATTCTTTTGGACAACCAAAATGTTTTGCCGACAACCAGGTTTTGTCAACAGGTTGTCCACTGGACAACCTGAAAAATATCCTTATGTCTACCTCTGCATACAGGTGTTGTTGGGTTGATTCTGGCGTCTCCTTCCTGAATGAAGACATTTCTAGAAACTGCTGTGTTACGGGGATATTGTTAGAAATAACAAATTTAAAAGATCATTTTGGAAAAGCAGTTTTTCTGGCTGGACATGACTTTAGTGACAGTATTTTGAGTTATTGAATTAGCTCTGTGAACTGTTTGTTTTTCTCAAAAATAGGTTAAATATTTTACACTTTTTTTTGTTTCCACTCTGATTTCCTTTGTGTAGTAATCTACAAAGCAATGCAAGTCTTGTTTTTGTGGTCAGCTATGTTTCTGAAATTCTTCCTGCATGGTTTTATTTATGTACTTATCTCTATTGTGCTCGTCAAGTTTTTTTTTTTTAAATCTTCATCAGGGGTGTTCAGTCTGGTTTTAGATGTTTCCTTGTTTAAAAATGAGTGATTAACAGACTTCTGCAGAACTTGAAGTGGTCATTCAATCACTGAATCAGGTGTATTGGAGCAGGGAAWTGAGTAAAACATGGAGGACAGTGGCCCTCGAGGAACAGATTAGGACACCCCCGCTCTACATCACGTAATAAAATGAAAAGCTGAAGCTAATGTGTGTTGGGCAATACTGTGGTCCAACCAAGCTTCCTTTAAAAAAACAGAATCCTCTAGTGCTCCACCCTGCTGTTTACCTCATCTTATTTTTAATAATTTAAAACAATGATTGCTTTTTACACAGGACAGAAAATGAAATTTAACCTTGAAGATGTCAATAGTGACTCGAGAAAGATCAATATTTTTTTTTCTCCTGAGGAGAGCTGGATGGGACATTAATATTCAACCTGTTTTGTTGAACTAAATACTATCAACAGAATAAAACTGGAGTAAGCTGTGTGTCTGATCTGTTGTTCTAGTTTTCACCGTTTGCCAAGGGCTCCAAACGTTACATGCTGTCAACTGGAACAGATGCCACAGTTTGTTTCTGGCAGTGGGATGCCAACAACATCAACTTTAGGTGAGCAGATTTGTTTATTAACTGTGTTTAAAAATAATAATGATGTAATAATTTATTGAAGTTAAAAAAAATCCTTTTAAATGTGCTTTAGACATGGCGATAGGCGATAGAGCTGAAATTTTACCCCTTTTTTTTAAGCGGTAGATAAAATCATAATTTTATCTAAATTGTTTTCCAACAATTGAGCTTTTAGCGATTCAACAGTTGAAACTGTTTCCTTTTTATGTAAAAAGTTCCTAAAGAAAAATAAACAGAACTTTTAGGCCAAATTATAATTATTATTTATAATTTACCACCAGATTATGTATTTGTTTTTGTGCATCTTTGCTAACCTGAGACGAGTACACTGGTTTGAATGAGCCATATAATTGACACTGTAGTGTACTTATATAGATCATTAAATCTTGATTCTTGACTATCTATTATCCCCCTTTATTTACAAGTATATATTGTTTAAAACAAAGAAAATAAAACTGCAGCTGAAGTTTTTTCTTTTGAACATTTTGGGAAAGCCAATAAAAAGAAGACTTTAGGACTTTTCTAGTTGAGTGAGCAGACAGAAGCCAGATGACACAAACAACTGGCTGGGGATTTACCAAAACGTCCCTGAATAACTCCAAAACAACTAGAAGCTAGTAAATCCTTTTGATCTGATGAAATGAAGATTAAACTACATTTATCAAGCGTGTGTTTGTAGCAAAGCTGGCAGTGAGCATCATCATGTTCTGAAGAGACTTTTGTCTTTGTTTTTGTCATAATTGTCATTCGAGCTTAATTTGTGGTTGGTAATAAATTWAAATTTTCCTTCCAGCGATCGGCCACATAAATTTATCGAACGGCCGAGGCCTGGAGTGCAGACTGTGTGCTCCTCATTCAGTCCAGGTAACGAGGCTATTGTTGTTCGCTGGTTTCTCAACGTGTCAAAATGTTGTTGGCGTTACATGGAAGTTCACTTTGTTTTGATTTTTATGAACATTTTTCTGAATTAGAAACATTTTTTGTAAAGTCTGGTTTAAACGCCTGAATCAAATGTTTTCCTTTTCAGGTGGGATGTTCTTAGCAACAGGAAGTACCGATGATGTCATTAGGATATATTATTTGGGTAACGGGAGCCCGGAGAAGGTATCGGAGCTCCACGAGCACACGGTACGCTGAGTTTAATTGTGTGGCATGTTAAGTGACATTTTCTGACCTAAACTTGTAGTTACACAGTTTTCAATTTGAAACAAACRAAACACTGTCTGCATGTCACATCTTTTTCTAGGACAAAGTTGACAGCATCCAGTTTTGTCACTCAGGTGAAAGGTATGTATTTTCTCCACACTCTGTTAAATGCAACGTTTTACAAAGGAAGTCACGAGGCGTCRTCCTGTCTCAGGTTTGTTAGTGGAAGTCGGGATGGAACTGCACGAATCTGGAAGCTCCATCAGCGGCAGAGGTGGAGGTGCATCCTGCTCAACATGTCTGCTACTCTTCCTGGGTAAGGACTGAGTGTGTTGTGGGTTAAAGGGCTCTTTTCTTGGTGTTCTTTGATTTGTGGCCAGAGATGATAATGGAGGAGCTGCCAGAGTGCAGCCGAGCAAAACACACACTGATGTCTTTATCCAAAAGTTTGTTCAGTTGTCTCAACTCTGTCATCTGTTGTAGTCACTTTTACATGTAGTAAACAACGGGTTGTTTGTATTTTGTAAACGAACTTTATCATTACCAAACCATTACAGAAAGATGCTTGTTGTCCCTTGAAATTAAGGGGGAAGAGTTTGAAATTTTTACATGCACTTATTTCTCAGTTGCAATAAATTTCAAATAGAAAAACATTAAAAAGCAAAAATGGACATGACGTTCCAGTTTGCTTTGTTGCATAATAGAGAGAGTTTATTGATCGTTTGTTTCCAAGCCTGCTTCAGCCTCCGTCTCACTCTCAGTACACTTTGTATGTACACGATTCAATTTAGTAATATAAAACGTGCTTTAAGGTTTTGATTTTGTAAATTCAGACGGAATAATTTCTGCTCATGTTCATCTGACTTGGAAAAAAGTGGCTTCRCTGACAATTGTTTAACGTTTATTTCATTTATTTGAAGTCACTACCACATTTTACAATATTGTTTTCTGGCTTGATAGAAAAAATAATGTATTTTATTAATATATTACCGTCTGGTTAGTAATCTTTGAAAAAGTGGACAAAAATCACACAAAATATTACAAAAGAGAAGAACAAGCTCAGTCATGCAAAAAGTGTTTTCTTAAAAAAAACTATTTACTTAGAAAATATCAGCCRTTACAGGYTRTAAGTTATTGTTACTGGTGTGAAAKGATTAGGCTCAGAAAACTAGYAACTATTTAACACCTACTGTGTAAATCTTCTATAAATGTATTTTTTTCTCTCTCAGTGCTGAACCAACGAGTGAAGAAGAAAGCTACTTTAAACCCAAAGTAACCATGGTAGCGTGGGATCGTCATGACAATACAGTCGTCACGGCTGTGAACAACCATCTCCTCAAAGTGTGGAACTCCTACACGGGGCAGCTGCTACATATCCTCAAAGTAATACTCCACCACTTCCTTCTCCTCTTCTCTGGAAATAACGCAGCGCTGGCAGCTTTCAGTAGATGAGCTGACGTTGACAAAACCGCTGATTTGACGTTTTTGTCTTCAGGGCCACGAGGCTGAGGTGTTTGTCCTGGAGCCACACCCCTTTGATCCCAGGATCATCCTGTCTGCTGGCCACGACGGGAACGTCTTTATCTGGGATCTGCAGCGAGGGACGAACACGCAGCATTACTTCAACATGGTACACAAATGTTCTGCACGGGCAAAAAGTCTGTTTGCAGAAAGGAGAACACAACTATGCAACTTCATGAAATTGTTTCAGGATATTACATGATGCACATAATTAAATATGGTTACGTACAGAAAGACTGCAGCGGTTAAATACAGCACGTACTCTCCTAAAACATGGATTAGACAAATAGAAAAAAATGTGATTTAAAACAAATGTTTTCCTTCAGGAGCTGCTAGAATTGAAAGGAGCGTGGATCGTTTTATGGCTCATGTTTCAACTTTTAGAAAACCAAAGAGGAAAAGAACATTTATCCTGCCGTCTTCTCGTAAATAAATTGGATTTTGTTTTCCYCTCCAGATTGAAGGTCAGGGTCACGGAGCCGTGTTTGACTGCAAATTCACTCCTGATGGTCATCGTTTTGCCTGCACAGACTCTCATGGCCATCTGCTCATCTTCGGCTTCGGCAGCTCCAAGCCTTACGAAAAGGCAAGACGCATAGTTTTTCTGTCTGAGACCGTCTCTGAAATGTTGCACCGTCCATCAAAAATAAATGTTGATTTGTCCTTTAGTTTGAGGTTTTATAAAGCAGAGCAGCAAGGTGAAGCTGTTTGTGACATCCTTGCTTCTCCTGGTCTCTGCAGCTTCCAGACCAGGTGTTTTTCCACACAGACTACAGGCCGCTCATTCGGGATGCCAACGGCTTTGTGTTGGATGAGCAGACGCAGCAGGCCCCCCATCTCATGCCCCCGCCCTTCCTGGTAGATGTCGATGGGAACCCCCATCCACCGAGGTAGCTGAGCCATCAGACGTTAACATCTTAGTGACGCCAGCTTTGTTCTGATTGCCCCGAAACCACAAAACTTCACTGGGCTGCAGCTAGTTAGCCACTCAAAACTGTAGGGAAAATTGTTAGTTGCAGTTTTGCGGAATGTGCTCGTTTCCAACTAAACAAGCCCGAGTTAAAAAATATTCTCTTCATTTATGTTTAACAGATATTCAACGAGCCGTGCAGACACATTTTGCATTGGATTATTTTCATGCACCAAGCTCTTAAAACGATATAGAAATTAGGATGGGTGGATTTGGACCAATTCTTYTAAGTTATTTATTTTCAGACTAGTTAAAAACAGGACCAGAAGGTGGAAGTTGAAGCTGCGTAGGATGGGCGCCACCTAATGGCTGGACGCAGTACAATTAACAAGTCCAGCTGCTCCACAAAAAACAAAGCGGACAATTTTCTGACTAAAAAAATGAAAATGCGATTCAGATAATTTGTTTAGGTGATGATTTTATTGATTTGTCTAAAATGTCTGCTGCTGCGTGCTCAAATATTAACTTCTTTTAATAGTTGACTCAGGCAACTTGGTATGTGTAGGTRGGACTTTTTATGCCATGCCGTTTCAGGGCCACTGTTATAGACTTTTTCCCCTTTTATCTGGGGAGGTGGGCTCAGCTGGTGGGAAGTGCTCAGCTCACTGCAGCATGACCCACTCCAGCGACTGTGGCAGATTTAGTTTGACTGCATTGATGCACCTGTCAAAGCACAGCACAGGTGTCATGAGAAGAGCTCGGGGACGAAACCCATGAAGCTCGAGGGAAACTCTGTCAGTGCAAACAACACATGGAGAGTCACGTTTTCAGAATGCTACACATTTCCATACAGTAGAAAAATAAATAAAAAACAAAACAGGGTCATTCTCAAAATATTCAGCTTTAACCCTGTAGAATTATGGAAACTGATAAGGATTTCAGGCAGTTTTATACGACTCTGCAACTATTCCAAGAGGAAAATTAGTCTGACTGAACTTTGTTAAAATCAAGACAATGAAGCTCTGCCACTCGTATGTAAAACGTGAGAACCACTGCTGATATTTTGGAGACTTTGTTGCAAATATTCCCACAAATAGTTGCAGCCAGGTGAGATTCTGGCTAAAGACCTTCATGAGAAGTGATTTTATTCCTAAGAACTTTAGGGCTGCTGAGTTGTTTTTACTGCCGTCTCAGTTTTTGTCTGTATAGAAACCATAAACTTTCCTGAATATTGATTAACTGTCAATGAAACAATAAGTAATGTCTTTTGGTTTTATATTTTGACTCTTCAGATTAAATTGTAATGTTTTTCAGCACAATGAGCTGCTAATGTGAGCAGCTTGTTGATTTTATTAAAACAACTTGACACAGAAAAATGTGAATCTTAGATGTTAGTGGGTGAGATCAATCATTTTCCTTTATTCATAATTCACCTTCAGTCTTTTTCTGCGTTACATCATCTGAGTATTTTACAAAAACGTATTTATTTTAATTCTTTGTGTCCAGTTAAATGTAAAGTCATGTCGTGCACATCTACTTTTTTAATACAGTATTTAACTGTGATTGCAATTTTTTTTTTTTGTTAATAACCATTTTTCTATTGTATTCTTTAAAATAAACACTGCAGTATTTTAAAGTTTTAATATTTGACATTTTTTTCAGATACCAGCGTCTTGTCCCTGGAAGGGAGAACATTGCTGCTGAGCACCTGGTTCCTCAGTTGGGATATGTAGCCACCAGTAAGATTTTCTTTTTCATTATATAACCTGGGTAAAGTATTTTAAAAAAACTACTTTTAAATAAATGATTCAAAATGATTGCACAAAATATTGAATGTTGTCACAACAATATTAATGAATACTTGATCAATTCATCAGAAATCTGTTTAAATCACAGGCAGTCATATTTCAGGTATTGTAAAGTCATGTTTTGCATGCTAATAATAGATTTGGTCATTCCTGTAGACTCACACCTGGTTTAAATGATGGTGATGACAGGAAAAAAAAGTGGGTTTATCAGCATCGATGATGTCATCGCATAATTAAACAATAGTATCATGTTACAAGTTTTTCTAACATCCTGCAGCCCTGTTAACCAGTAATTCCCTTCCAACCAGTCATCAGCCCACTAGATGGAGAAACCCCTTACTGTTAACGTTTTTTAAATGTCTAGATCTTCATGTTTGTCTGTTTAATCTTCAGGTGATGGYGAGGTGGTGGAGCAGGTCATCAGCCAGCAGACTGCAGAACACGAGGAGGTCACGGTGAGACGCAGCAGCCTTCTGGACGAGGCCATCCGACAACTCCAGGAGCAACAGGACCGACGGAGCCAGCCTCAGGCAGAAGCAACGAGGGGGTCCAGAGCTGGAGCAGAAGGACACGCTGAAGCCCACGGCCTGGTGTCGGCACCAGCACCAAGTACACCTCGCAGAGGTATAGACTAAAAAAAATAAATCTGTGTTGCTGTGGATCGTTCTTATTGACCCTTGACTCTCCTCCAGAAACACTCCAGCTTTTGTTTCCTCCTTCCCTCCAGTGTCTGTAAATGACCGAGCAGATGTGCAGTCCCCTCCTAACGTGGGTCTGCGTCGCAGCGGACAAGTAGAGGGCGTGAGGCAAATGCATCAAAACGCTCCTCGCAGCCAGATGGCCACTGAGAGGGACCTGCAGGCCTGGAGACGCAGAGTGGTGGTTCCTGAACTGGCAYCCAGCAGCTATAGGTGCAGCTGATCGTGTTTTTTTTTTTTTTTTTACCTGATTCAAGAGGACCACCACATCTGATTCATTTTAGCAAGCACAAACATGACTGTAATTCATTCAGTTTTATAGACATACAGGTGAAATTTATTGTGGTGGTAACTGAAAGTCATCTTTAACACATAATCTGAGCTCGAACAAATCTTACAGGATCTTTAATTAAATGCAGCATTTTTTGAAGCTTCTATCATTAAGGGTGTGATTTAAGATTAATGGTATAATTTATGTTATATTTATTAATTTTTCATTGTTTCTCAATTTAAACAATTGAAAAATCATTTAACAGGAACCAGGAGGACATTCGAATAGTCCAAGGAGATGAGGAGGTTCTTCTGTACAACACAAAGAAGAGACGTATTTTCTACAGCTGCCGGGTAGGATTCTCTTTTTGTAAATGATAAAAGTTTGTAACCTCTCTAGGTTCATACACGCACACATTCAGTGCTTTCTACGATGTATTTATAYTCATGCAGCACTTTTTATATTCTACCTATGGGGGACTCGGTGTCTTTGCACTATGCAGGACCTGAGGATCTAACCCCTGATTCTCAGATTGGAGGGTGGTCTCAGTAGAAGAAAGGAATTTCTGAATGTTGTGTAATACTGTTCACATAGTGTGTAGTAAAGTTTCAGTTTGTGTTGAAATCTTGTGTTGGACTGGATGAATTACAGAATCAAAGAAAATGATACAGATAAAATACTCTCCCCGTGTAAACTGTGCACGTTATCAAATGTTTACATSAGGATATAACAGGACACAAGGTTTATCTCACTTGAATGTTTTTATTTATGAATGAGTGCTCAGTCAGTTCTACCTGTTTCCAGGATGATTCCGATGAAGAGCCCCCCACTGCAAAGCGATCCCACGGCCGCAGAGGTTCACCAGAACTGATTGAATTCTCGTGTGAGGAGGGAGAGGAAACTGCCAGTTCCGAGGCGCACTCTGAGGTATCACTTGAACCACATCCCCRTGTCTGTTTAAAAGTGTAACGTACAAGTTTCACAGTTCTGTTTGTTTATCGTTTTTTTAGGAAAATGAACTGGATGGAAGTGAACTGGACACCTCTAATGATGAGGAGGAGTGGAACAGCGACACCTCAAGGTATAAAGCTATATTCAAACCCAAGTCAAAAAATGATGGAATCATCACTGCTGGAGGATATTCTTTCAGTTTTTTCATTTTGTTTTAAAAAATAAATTACATTAACACTGGTTGCATTTAAATAAAATAGTAATGCTAAATATGAACAAGTAACGCTGTGCTTTTAATACATTTTAAATCATACCTGATATTCCCGTCACACTTTTTTAAAATCCCTCTGGCATCTTTTCTCCRGTGGTTTGCCGGTGGTTGTCCAAACCACAAAGCTGGAGGTGGGTTTTTCCTCCATCAGTCGTTTGTAAACTAAGAGAAATGATTTCTCAGCCATGTTCTTGATTCCTCGACTGAARGCGATGGAAACTATACCGCTTTTCTCTGGGACACTTTTTTGTTGTTGTGGGTCTGTGTGTTTAAAACACTGTTGTTGTAATCATTTATTCAGTTTAGTCTGGATGTTTATGCAGTCGTAAACAAACAAATGTAAACAAAACAAAAATGGAGTTTGTACTGTTAATCAGAACGCAAATTACTTTCAAATAAACCTCGGTCTGTGCTTCGCTACCTTGGTTAACCAAAGCTTACTKCTACTTCAACTGTTTCTGACAGGAAGTCGTGCCCATAATCATTTGTACAGTAGCCCCACCAGGTGGGTACTGTTTTCAAAATCCTAATCATCTGGCATTAAGAGAGTATAAAAAAAGAGGTATTAAATTGTTGTTGACAATCACAATAGCCTTTTTTTTTTTTTAGATCTAATAGAGGAAAAAAATATGGAATTACTCAAATTTGAGAAAAATATTATGGAATGATTTTATTATTTACTTACAGAAAATTCATACCAAAACCATTATTTACACCTGTTATGGAAAAGTTTCTGCCTTAGTGGAATATTTCCACAACAACACCCAAACAAAAATGTATGTAGGTGACAAGTTTCCAGAGTCACTGATGATTTGGGTYTGCATGTCGGGTAAAGACAAAAACGCCAAAGTGTGCACAAAAGTTTTAGACCTTTTCCCCTCTAAATCAGTTGAAAGGATGTTTTGTGGTAAAGACTTCTAGCTGATCAGGCATCATTTATTCAGGGTTCATGCAGGGTCTTAAAAAGTCTAAAAATGTCTAAAATTTGAAAATCGAAATATTAGGCCTAAAAAATATCTTAAAAATGCCCAGATTTTCACCCAAGGTCTTAAATTTAATTTTGTCAAGTCTTCATTTTTTTCAACTTTTGATCATTCCTGAGAACCGTTGGCTCTGCATAAATAAAGTTGAGTCATAATCAGACGACACGATCTGTCTTCATGAAGTGATAAAAGTTTGCTACTGGTCATGATAAAACTACAAATCCCATGATAACTGCAGGCAAACATGGCACAGTTTNAAACTACAAATCCCATGATAACTGCAGGCAAACATGGCACAGTTTACTTCCATGTTTTTGACCTCTTTGCCGCTACAACCCCCCCCCCAACATACAGTGGCTTATTTACCTGCTCTAAAAACAGAAGTTCACTCATGTCCACTGCTTGTTGTTCAAACATGGGAAAGTGTGTTTTCAATGAGACTTCAGTGATTTTTTTTTTCACTCGGTTGAAAGCGGTTCACASCAGTCAGATATGACCGTTTCATACAAATAATTTAGTTTTCCTATATTAAAATATTCTTTAATAACTAAATTGATAGCAATAAAAGGTTTCTATTATAAAATTTCTGGGACCATTTGAATGTTTCTGTCAATGCATCGATTTGGTCTTAAATGTCATTACTAATGGTCTTAAAAGGTCTTAAATTTAACTTAGTGAAACCTGCATGAACCCTGTTTATTAGCAGGGGCGCACCAATAAACTGATTTCCTTAATTTTGGAAAATTGGCAGAAAATCGCCAYTTTCCCCTTATGCTCTGCCGTGCACTACCTAATGTCCAGTTAAGACAGCTTTGTGTTGTTCAATGTTGTTCAGTAAAAGACTGGAATATTGAGGGTGTTGTGAATTTAAAACATGAGTGTTTTATTTTTTTAAAAGATTGATATAGGTCAAAATCAGAATCTGCAAGTCAGACATTTTAAAGATCAGTGATCAGCCAGAAAACTGCCATCTGTGCACCCCAATTTATTAGGTCCATACTCAGAGAATTTACAACAGAGGTGGTACAACGAAGTACTAATGGAGCTGTGCTGGGATGTAGACTGGAGCCAGTCCACACCCTAGTTGGAACAATTTTTATTTTACTTTTTCTGAATAACTAAACTCATGTCAAATGTTTGTTCCATCATTGTATTGTGTAATATGGTGCTCACCCTGTTTTTTTGTCTGCACAGTCACACATCCAGCGAGTACTCCGACTGGACAGCAGATGCCGGCATAAACCTGCAGCCCTCCACGCCCTTGTCGTCGCGTAAACGAGCGAGGCACACAATCAGCAGCTCTGAGGAGGAGGAGGAAGAAAACGAGGAAGAGGAGGAGAAGCAGCAAAGCGACGAGGAGGAAAAACCTGCAAAGAAACACAAAGAAAAGGCTAAGAAGGCAAAGTCTCACTCCCCCAGGGTGAGATTACCAGTGCTGTGGAATTAGCTTCTGCTTAAATGCTGATTTAGATTCAATAGTAGAAAAAATTGAAAAAACGGCACAATGTTTAAAAAAATTAAATCATTTAAACAGGTTCATATCTTCATGCTAAACAWTTTATTTTTTGTTGCTCCAATCAGCGTCCAAAGGCCAGACCGTCTATTAACAGGGAAGTGTCCAATGAGTTCAGACCGTCAGCGTGGATCACTGATGTCATTCCCAGGAAGTCTCCTTTTGTYCCCCAAATGGGTGATGAGGTACATGACCGTATCTGTGGCTCCTATTGTCGGCTTAAGAACAGAAAATTTACACCTCACAGGCATTTTCTGGTTCATTTATGAAATTTGTCACATTACTGCAGTAACATATAGGCACYAAATAGCAACTCATTTAGATTTTTCTTAAAACAAAATGATTTCACGTATCGAAATAAATTTGATCAGCGTCTAATAAGTTTATTTTTCAACATGTTTTTCAGCCTTTTAAAGTTGAATTACTGTAAAAAAAAATCTTTGTTTCCCCTCCGTTAGGTGATCTACTTTCGCCAGGGGCACGAGGCCTACGTTGAGGCTGTGAGTCGGAGCGAGCTTTACCCCATCATCTTAGAAAAACAGCCGTGGAAAAAAATGGAGCTGAGGGTATGAGTTAAAAACATAATCCCTCTTTGTGGCAAGTGATAAATATCTACAGCTGTTGGTTTTCTACAGAATAATYAGAGACCATACCAATGTTCAACTTCAGATTTAAAAGTGTATTATAAACTAGTAATAAAGTAAAAACACTTGTGTGCGTTTGTCTTTTTTTTTCTCCAAGGACCAGGAGTTCGTGAAGATCACTGGCATCAAATATGAAGTTTGTCCTCCAACGCTCTGCTGTGTGAAGCTGTCCCTTATTGACCACGGCACTGGCAAAATCACAGACAAGTCGTTTTCAGTCAAGTAAGCAGCTCTTGTTTAAATTTTATCTATTTTATTTGCTCAGCTTTAGTAAAGTGTATGTATTATTATCCTGTAGCAACAGTTTAGACAAAGTCTTGAATATTTATTGTACTCTAAAGTCACTCATTTTCCGTGCAGGTATCACGACATGCCAGATGTGATAGATTTTTTGGTGTTGAGGCAAAGTTATGATGAAGCACTCCGTAGAAACTGGCAACCAAGTAAGTTGGCTCATACATTCCTGTACATCAGTTTAARTTTTGTCTATTTTAATTCTAACTTTTATTTTATTGTATATAGACTATTTTGTCTTTATGAATGAAATGAATTGAATAAAATAAAAAAAAACGTGAATTTAAAAAGTCCCTCTTGATGTGAGCGTGTTCTCCTTTTCTAAATGACAGACGACAGATTTCGCTCGGTGATTGACGATGCCTGGTGGTTTGGGACCATTGTCTGCCAGGAGCCTTACCAGCCAGAATACCCAGACAGCCTCTTCCAGTGCTTCAAAGTCAGGTGTGTGAGGCTGTTTCTGAAATAACAAAATGGTGACACTTGTATGCGGTTTGCTAGTAGTAGATTGAACAAACTAAAGAAACTGGCTGATTGTTACCTGTGTTGATTTTTGGCAGTATTGTTTTTGTTTTCCACAGATGGGACAACGGGGAAACTGAAAAGCTGAGTCCTTGGGATTTGGAGCCTATCGTTGATGAAGGTAATAAAAGTTCTAGCTTTAGCCATCTTAAGGACAAACTTTGGGAGCTGATCATAGTTTTGTTTGGGGCTATATTTAAAATCTTTGTGTGTCTTACAGCCCAGGAGCCGGAGACGGAGGGAGGCGGGATCCCTGTGACGGCAGAGGAGATGACAGAACTGATGTACAAGCCTGTGGCAGGCGAGTGGGGCGAGAGGAACAGGGATGAAGAGTGTGAACGCATCATCGCCGGCATCGATCAGCTGATCACTGTTGGTGTGTACTCAGGCTAATCCTTTTTGTTTAATGCCAGCTTCTTTTCCATCATTAACTTACACGAGGTTAAGATATGTGTGAGTTACAGATGAGCCCTCCTTCATGTTTGTGATACAGAGATTGCAGCTCCGTTTTCCGGTCCGGTGGACCTGGTCCAGTATCCCACCTACTGCACTGTGATCGCCTATCCCACCGACCTGGGCACCATCAAACTGCGTCTGATGAACCGATTCTACAGGTCAGTTCCTCCAGTCAAGTGGGTTTTGGCTCCATCTTTTATGTATCATAACATTAGCTTTAACCATTCATCTTCTGTGCTTCACAGGCGCCTCTCTGCATTAATCTGGGATGCCAGATATATCGCACACAAYGCTCGCACTTTCAATGAGCCAAGGAGCAAGATTGCCCACTCTGCAAAAATCATCTCAAATGTCCTCCAGAAATTTGTCAAGTGAGTGTTGAACTTCTCAACATTTTTATATTCTGATATTTTCATCTGGTGATAAATGACAGAACTGCATCATTTGCACTAATGTGTCTCTTTTACACTGAGCCGTCTCCCCTCCTCCCTCAGTAACCTTAGCTGCACAGATCTCATGGAGATTTACAACGCTGTGGAGGAAATGGATGACGATGATGAGGTAAGTCTGGATGAACTGAGAAGCCTTTTAGGCAACATTTTCTGTAGAAAAGCTGCAAACACACAGCAAAAAAGTATACATCAGCTTCAGGCTGTCGTTTCTCTGCCAAAGAGAAAGAGGAGTTGSCAGTTTTTCTTTTTCTCCTTACTSTTATAAATTTTCTAGTGCACACTAAATATGGGTGTGGCCAAATTTGGTGTGCAAACATTTTAATGGATTTGACTGCAGCTGTAAAGAACTCAAACTCAAGAGGGGAAACATGGAGATATTTTGTGATTGATAATATGTAATGTGAGTAAAATATGACATTTATTAGTTGAGAAACATACAGTGATCACATTATCACATTTTAAACCATAATCAGAAGGGATCTTATAAAACTATTAGAGTAATATGGTTGCTCAGCTCATGTGAACTTAATAGTAAAGGGTTTAGTTATAATTTAAAGAACTCTGTTGGACTCTTACAGGAAGAAGATGCAGAAGCACCAGGAACCTCGTCGGGACACAGACTGCGTCAGGTGAGCAAAAAGAGATAAAAAYCTAAATTGCATGTAAAGAACCGTGGCATTTCATTTATTTATACTGTACTGTAATGTTATCTAYGTATAAAGTGTTTGTTAATGTATATGTGTGTGACTGATGTATACAGGTCCTTCTCAAAAAATTAGCATATTGTGATAAAGTTCATTATTTTCTGTTATGTACTGATAAACATTAAACTTTCATATTTGTTAGATTCATTGCACACCAACTGAATATTGTTTTAATATTGATGATTTTGGCAAAAAAGTAAAGAAAAACCAAAAATCCCTATCTCAAAAATTAGCACATCATGAAAAGTTTCTCTAAATGACTTATTAACCTAATCATCTGATTCAACAAATTAACTCTAAACACCTGCAAAAGATTCCTGAGGCTTTTAAAAACTCCCAGCCTGGTTCATTACTCAAAACCACAATCATGGGTCAGACTGCTGACCTGACTGCTGTCCAGAAGGCCATCATTGACACCCTCAAGCAAGAGGGTAAGACACAGAAAGACATTTCTGAACAAATAGGCTGTTCCCAGAGTGCTGTATCAAGGCACCTCAGTGGGAAGTCTGTGGGAAGGAAAAAGTGTKGCAGRAAAYRCTGCMCAACRAKAAGAGTTGTCAKTCAGTGATGGTCTGGGGTGCCATGTCAGCAGCTGGTGTTGGTCCACCGTGTTTTATCAAGGCCAGGGTCAATGCAGCTATCAGGAGATTTTGGAGCACTTCATGCTTCCATCTCCTGAAAAGCTGTATGGAGATGAAGATTTCATTTTTCATCTTGACCTGGCACCTGCTCACAGTGCCAAAACCACTGGTAAATGGTTTACTGACCATGGTATTACTGTGCTCAATTGGCCTGCCAACTCTCCTGACCTGAACCCCAGAGAGAATCTGTGGGATATTGTGAAGAGAAAGTTGAAAGTTGAGAGACACAAGACCCAACACTCTGGATGAGCTTAAGACACAAGACCCAACACTCTGGATGAGCTTAAGACACCAATCGAAGCATCCTGGGCCTCCA